AAAATCTTGAATCCGTGATTCATGGATTTGTAAAGCTGAGTACGTAGATCAAAAATCAACCGAAGTGTAACACTATAACTGCCAATTACCCGTCACGTTCTCATCACAAAAGGTGCAGAGAATAGATGTATAAAATAATGAGTCTTTTGTGTAAACAAGTGAATGTAAAAATTACTGTGTTGTCAAGGCTATTTTCTCGAATGAGCTAGGTTACCAGTTAGTCAACATTAACATAGAACCTGGTAATACTGAGTAATAGTCCAGTTTCCTGCATGTCTTTTTAACAAAGAACAGCAAGGTGACAGTCAAAAAATGTAATCAAACTGGTAAAAGGTAGTAAGACAACAAAAAGAAGAAGAAGAACATCTTGTAGGACAATTAATGGACTTCGGCATGATGATCCAGATGTAGGGTGAGTCCGACTCCTGGGAGAAGTCGTGGCTACACACTGCTGATAAGTTCCTTTAAGGGACCAAACAGCTGTCTACTGGTCCCAGGTTTTCAATGGACCTCCAAATGATTTCAGTCCATGATGAATGTCAACCTGGAATTAGTAAATTCATGCAAACTCCCGAAATGAACTTATGATATTTCGTCTCTTTCTTCTCAATAACAAAACGGCTGCAAAACTTGTGATATATATATCCAAAGAGATGCAATCAACACACCTCAGCTATCGAAAATAAAAAAGGGGAAACAGTGGTGTTGTGTTTAAATCACTTTGATGTGTTTCTGCGAACTACTGATCGACATGAGGACCTACGGCTACTACTTATATCACTGTCGATAGTATATTTCCTAAGTCTTCCAATGATTTGATGTCTGGGTCTGCTGTGGTTTATTCAAACTTACTTCTCTTCAACAGAAAAAAATCTGCAAGACGCTTACTTTTCATAAATGGCGTAGTTTCTAGCCGCCTCAATCAATTCAGTTCGCAAAGTATATCAGCTGTTAAAAGTCGGTCTATCTCTCTCTTCCGCATTGATTCAAAATTCCACGTAACGTGGAAGATCCTTCAAAGAATTCAGTGGTCAGTTAGTTATAGGTCTCAGTTGTCGTCTACACGCCAGAATCAAACCACATGGTTGTGCTGGCGAACAATTTTTATGGCAAAACTTCCTTCGATGAGTGAATATCATGCTGAAGGCATTACAACTGTAATGAGTTGGCTCCCAGCCTCCATATCCTTAACAAAGTGTTCATTACAACAGTCAAAAATCGATAGGTTCCCAGCTCATTTTACCTCAAATTGTATTTTCCACTTCATATGTACATGCTAGAGCACGTAGATTGTTTGGACGACCACGTGAGCTGAGATCTATTTTCCTGAATATACTACACATGACGTCCAGATCTCGTGTAAATTTAAACTAATCAACAAACGAAATTATGTTAATTTATTAAGATTCACAAGAGCAACTACTATTCGAAGAATAAAAACAAACTTGTGCCTTAATAAAGAGGGAACTGTTAGCCATGATCAACTAATCATTAGTTTGTTGTTCAGTATAAGCCCTACCAAAAATTATTTGTTCATATATTTTTCTATTTTTATACTTATTGAAAACCAATTTCACAATCATTTACTATTTTAATTTTAGAGGATTACCGCTTCCATATAATGCCGTTGTTCAGTAACTGTCGTCACGTTTGAATTAGTTCGCCCCACTGGTCCACTTTTGGGAAGTCTCATCTTGAAGTAGGTCACTAATGAGCACTGGAAAGCAACTGGATTTCGAGGTTTGAATACCATGAGTTCCCTGTATACTGCAGAATCTGTTGTTCTTTCTTTGCTAATAGCTGGGGCGATAGATTTGTAAAAAGAAACTCGCCATCCAATGCAATAGATATCTTCCTTTATACTGACTTATAAACTCCATTGGGCAGTTGATCTTGATGAATCTCTCCGTCTATAATCTTGGTTCTTCTTCCAACTCATCGGCTGTGCATATTCGTTAAATTCGACTAAATAAGCACCTAGTTACAGCTCGTTTGTATTAGATCGGACAGAACTTGATAATTTAAATGCTATCATGTTGAGGTAGGTTTTCTGTAGATGGATAGTTTCACTGATCCTTGTTGCCATCGACTGAACAATACATGTAAGAAAGAGACAGTTATCGTTCGCTTCTAAACTTGTTGGAGACATACTTTTGTGTACTCCGTTTTGTGCAGAACTGAAGTAGGACAACAAAGATCATCTTTTATGATTAAAATATCAACCACAAACTCAGACAACATTTCGAGATGTGACACATAAATATCTGCTGAAAGTGGACTCAAGGGGCTTCCGATAATAACAGCATCAATCTGACAAGGATATTCGCTGTGAAAGTTAAACTTTACACTTCTGGTAGACGAAAGTAATAAATGTTTTAGGTAAGGTAAAGATAGTGAGGTTGAGAAATTGTTGGTGGAATGTAGTCACCCGAAATGTCAATCGTTTTGATCAGGGGGTGACACGAAGGAAATGAATGCTTTTATTTCTAAGAATAATGCCATCAATGCAGTGAACTAACTCCAATGTATCTTTCAAGGTATGTTTACAATATTGTCTTTTAATGAGGTTCAATAATTCCACTGGTTACTGAGTAAGTGCTTATGAGATGATGACAATATAGCATGTAAGGGACAATCGAGTTTATGTATTTTGCCTAAGTCATATCTGACTTCTGCCACAATTTAAGTATTAATTCATGTGAGAATCACCATATCAACTGTAAGACTGAACACTTCACAGTAAAACATTATGATGTGTTAGCAGACTTTGGTTTTACTGTCTATTCAATTTACAGAAACGTTTGATTAGGGTGCTTTTCAAATTACCTAACTGTCTAACTGACTTTTTTTAAACTGACAAAGTCTATCGACTGTTTTGTAATAAACCCGGATTGGTTAGTGATAAAATGGTTGTCTAATGTTGATGATAAGTAGACTGGAAGGAAAGAACTGGATCATGACAGAATTCTGAAATGGTGAATTACAGATTACTAGTCCAGTACCCTGTGACGTGATCTATGACCAGGATGATCAATTTGCAAATAATTCGCAAATTACACGGTCCACTTAGACATTTCTCACGGCTGAATAGTTTTTCAGCTTCCCAACTGTGGTGTTAACAGGGTTTCCGCCGGAAATTACCCCGCAGAGAAAATCACAAGGTGTGATCTCTAATATAAAAGATTTGTGAACTAGCCAACGATGCTAATAATAAACAAGCCGATTAGTTAGAATCACCTCAGGCTGATCTGTAGATATCATCAAGCAAGTCAGCCAGCCAGATTTAGATGATCTGAACTAATTTGGCTTTATGAGCTGAATTTGTCTGCATACACCGCTGATGAACTCGGCTCCAAATGAGCTAAACAGACGTCTGATGTTTCGATCACTTTGAATTGGCTGGTAATATCTACAGATCAGTGTAAATGGTTTCTAGCTACTCGAGTCATTCAGTTGTACCATTGACCTATGAATACCCGTTTGCTATCCAGTTGATCGACTGGTTATAAGTTAGAATATTTGAAAAAGTCTCATTTAACATAGAATAACTTTCGTTTAATTTCCATCATTCTTCCTGAAAAGTGATTCAAAAGACCGCCATCACCGTCCAGACAACTACTGAAATAACCAACCAGGTTTTCTTACTTTAAGAAAAATAGTTTTCCAGCTGAAATAGTAGTATTTGCTAGAGCTGGCTTTACAGTCACCCAGTCAAAATGATATGATGTGTTCGAGTGGTGTGTGCTGTTAAGAAAACATTACTAGGGAATATCAGTCGATTCACGAAGTTTCAGCAAAATTTAAACCGACTGATCACCACGCAAACTGGCAGTGGCCATTTAGTGATGATCAGTATCGTATATGTAGTAAGACTGTTGCTGATAGGTGAAAGCTAGAATAATCTGATTGGTTATAACATATCCAATTAAAAAGTAAAATCAAATGCAAAAATGAAGGTCACTGACTGGCAACCACCTAGCTTTTACTGTTAACAATATGACAATGGCATACTGTTCGGTCAAATTTGCTACAGTGACGCGAAGTACATCAGTAAAGTTTCAGAATAAAAGGGGAAAATGCTTAAAAAATCGCAAAAATGAGATGGGTAGCAAGTTCATTTTTTTGATGCCATCAGTTGGCCAGCCATTTTCAGACGAAAAGAAAGAACCATGTAAAACCCTGCTGAGACTTGTGGTTAGGTGGAAACGAAACATTTTGCAATACGACACGAAGGTAAAGCCCCCAAAAAATAGAAAGATGTAAGAATGAATAACAAGGATCACATGAGTGGGCGGGATTCAGAAATTATCCGCCCCAGTATTGAAAGGTTCTCCAGCTGACACCAGTCACTGATGTAAGCTACTTTAAAGTCAGTCTACATTCCATAAACAACCAATCCGACTTTTATTAGCGACGGTTCTAAGAAGTAACCACTGCCTACATCGTCATACAAGCCTAAAATACGCATGCATGCCAAGTGGTGACATTTGCTTATGGCTACGTCAATTCAGAAATTGACAAAGTAGGGAAGAAAGACTATAGGGTTCCAACCAAGTGACGGATTTGAAACCTTATCTCAGCAAGACCTAGTGGGCCTATATTTTATACTGGTCCAGACTAGGGAGGATTCCAGAAGTAAGAGAGAACATTCGTGGGAAGTATCTGCAATCATACAAAAGATTTGGAAGACAACCACAGTTTCATGAATTGGTGAGACTGGTTTGATGTTACCACCCTTCGTTAATTTTCATCCTATTCAGTGTATGTAGTGCATTTCAGCAAAAGTAAAAAGTGATTTTGGTCAAAAGCCTTACCAAGTAACTTTCTTCCTATGTATTGAACACAGTACCATCAATTCTAGACACTGATTAGTTCTACTAGTTAACATTAAATTATTATGGAAATTGTCTTTTATTACCAGCTTGGGTTATTTCTGAAGAAAGTTGCTGTTTTCAATGTTTTAGTGTTATTTAAGTAAACGCATCAACTAGCATCCTCACCTGTTGTTCTTCCACCCGTGATTGTAATATTGTGGGTAATTGTATTCCATAGGCATTTTGAACGGTTTGTCGATTGAATGAATGAGTTGGATCACTTAGAACTTTCAGAGCATTTTCCAATTTGAACTAGAAGGACATAAAAACGGTAATTCAGCATGCACTAAGAAATGGTGTAAAAAGAGAAGGAACGTTTACTCGATTGAGCTGGTTGATTCAAAGCTGATTTTCATCACTCAGTAAAATAAGTTGAAGCACCATTGCAAAAGTCTGGGAGCATCAACTTAGTCCGAGTCTCCTCAGTAATCCATGACCAAAAGCCGCTTAGGGGGTCAAGCATAGAATGATTAGATATTGCAGTGAACGTGTCACCATTCAGTGACTGGTTTGAAATTTGATCTTTTTATGACAGCCCCACCATCATCCAATATCCCTGACAAGTATTTATCCACATACCTGATGGTGTTCACAGATTTTCAGTTCGTAACGAAAACAGCCGTAGAAATATTACTAAACTCTACTGACTATTAATTAGTTTGCATTTCTCCGCATATCCTATCAGTCTACAATTATCTTTTCAACGTAGTCGAAAACTGTGCTTTTCCCTACCCTGGTATACAGGCTTTGGGTTGAATTGTACAGACCGAAAGGTGCTAGCAAGATGGTGACTTTCTGGTATACCTTCTTGAGACCAGACAGACAGACTGACTCACTGACTCACCGACTGATAAAATCAAGGTAGAACCTGGCATAGCGGTTGAAGTTGCCACATTTTAAAGTAGTACACGAAAACAGATGAGCAGAAAAGGATTGATATCAAAGCAGATAAAGTTGTTTGAGAGAATAAACAAGATGAAGGTTGGTGAGAATATTCAAGCTTTAAAAGATGGCAAGGAATGAATACATCTGCTCAACTGTGAACAATTTTCAGGCATGTTACCAAGGCTTCTGGACCACTGACTCATTTTATCTCAGGGACTCTAACCAAACAGTCTACTTTCCCCTACACTAATCAAACCAACAGTAAGAGACTTCATCGACTGGTGAAATGTCTTCGTCTCGCCACCCTGAACCCTCTTCCAACCTAATTCAGTTTCCGCAGCATGCCATGTCATGGTAGGCGGTGGCTTGACCTGCACAGTACAGTTTGAAAATAATTAAAACAATATGCGTAGTTAGTTTTTACTCCATACACTGATAGTGAGATTCTTCTAAGGATTCTTCTATTGAGCAAACATTTTGCTTGAACAAACACTATTTCACGATTCAGCCTGTCAGTTTTGCACACGTAGTCCACGGGGTCATGCACACACACAGGGAGAAGTGATTACAACTTACTGTAAATAGTTGTACACATTTCACTCACGCAAACATATGCTCTTCCGAACAGTTCTAATGGAGTAAAAGTGTCTTAATTCCCTTGTACACTTTTTTCAGAGCTTGATATTTAATTAGGTTACTGCTCAGGTACACTAAATCCAGTAAAACTGGTTGTGTGGTATTCCGAAATAATGCAGCCAAGTTATGCCAAGTCGAAAAGGATCAAACAGAGAGATTGACTGATTACCATCGTAATGGTGAGTTTCCTGGCGTGGTGGCTACAGTGAAAAATGATCGATAGAATTCAGTCAGCACTCACAACCAGACAACGTGGAATTACTCTCCACTGACCAACCAATGAATCTGATCAAGTCCTGAATTGGATCAGTCGCGGTGCAGACAGCTCAGCTTTAAGATCTCTGACTTCAGCACTGATGGACGCGAGTTCGAATCTCACAGTGGACACCAGTTTCCTCTAGGTTGCAGATACGCCTTGTTGATGAGTGACAAGAAGCATGAAGCTTAGGTCAAGCAGGGCTTTCCGCCCATTACCCCAAACTATATACTGTTAGTCAAAGTACACCATGATTCTGAGTCTCTGAGCTTAATGACCACATTCCAAGATGATTAGTAGAATTGCTGAAGTACTTAGGACTAAGCAACCTGAAGTTAGTAGCTCTGCAGTGACCAGTATATGTATATAGAATCCAGTTGATTATATAAAATGAAAGGTGGAACATTCAGAGAAATAAAATTCAAACTTGAAAATGCAACTTGGTTTTCATTAGCTCCTAGGACTGGGACAGCCTCGTGAGCTCTACGATAGATCAAAAATAAGCAAACCTGAAATTCCTCTTAAACCAATTATTGATTTTACAAACTCTATAACTTACCTTTTATCGAGATGTTTATCAAGAATTTTGACACCATTTCAGTGCAGCGTCTCTGTAACATATTCTAAAATCTGTTTAATCTCTTTTCTGTACAATTTGTGAGAAGGGTACAACTGGGGTTGTACAAATATTCTTAAAATTCTTGAATTCTATTGCTTCCTCAAATGATACTAATCATATGATAAATGTCGTCAAGTCAGTTATCAACTTTGATAGGAAGCAGCTTAAATGAAAGTCAACATTTCAGGTCATCATTCCCTAAAGCAGAAGTTTTGAATTTCAACTTTTCTCTCATGTCACTGTGTGGTCACGAAATATTTTATTGGATAATTTACCCTGCATTTGATCAATCAGAATAAGTTATTTAACTTTTACCTAGTGGTCTTATATGTTTATGAAAATTCTACATAAATGATGTAATTTGCTGAATTACATGTCTTTCTAACAATCACAGACCAGTGACTCTGTTTTCTAATTTTCATAGCTCGGTGAAGTATGAGGTCCTGAGGAAGAACATTCGCTATTCGTAGGTAGTTCAAGTGTCTCACTGAGTTGTGATTATTTGCTTATTTATTGTTATAGCTGAAGTTGAAAAGATTTTTACGATACTGGGTGAATATTAAAATGGTTCTTACCATCTCCTCATACAAACACATTCAAGTTCAAAGGTTCTTCAATACATTTTTAAGGATTGAATGTCTTCCACTGAGCAGTCCCTAAGAATGATCGAATAAATATCCGATTTTTTGAGGGTTCTACAAGTCCGAGATATATCTGCTGAAAAACAAATGAGTTGTTATTTCTGTCCAAATTCAAATGTTTCATGAAAAAAAAACTTCATATAGCTTAATTGGATGAAAGTGATTTGAAGAAAACGTTGAGTATTGGTTTTGCATTTGTTGGCACTCATCAACAAGGTGTATCTCAAATGTTGTAGTAGGGTAATTACACTAATTCAATCATGGTTCTTTAACCATATCTTTTACAACGATTAATAATAGGCAAGGATAAAGAAAGATTCAAACTACTCCCATCTACTTCCTGTAGTATAACACAGAATGGAGAGATAATATAACTTTAAGATAATTCAATTTACAAACATCTTAACTTCTTCCAAATCCCAACTGCTGAACACTGCAGTAATGCGTCTAACCACCTAAACATTCATCAGGTGTAGTTTAGAACCCTACGGAATCCCTTCATCTAACAGGTTACATTGCATAGTATGACATATGTATTACAAGTACAACTTGATCTAACCCTTATAGTTGATTACTTCCTATCCAATGATGAAGTATTTGAGTGGATTCACTGATCGGCCATGTCGTCCAGCTGAATAGCTCCACATTACAAAGATGAATAATGCAAAATGATAACACAAAAGACAACAAGACGTGATCATGAAAGTTACAGTGAATGGAACCTTGATTCAGGATATGTTTTATTGATAATTTCCAACGATTAAACATACTATTTATAAACGAGTTGTCAGTAGTTTTAATAATGTATGAGTGGCAAAAGCAGAGTGAAAGAAAAGGCGAAACGCAGTCAGAAACCACGTAAACATTCCCACAGTAAATAGTGAGTTACACCCGTTGTTCGGGGGCTAGTGGAAATACCTGATCGTCAAAAGCCTCGGTGGGTGAAATGGGGTCCAAACCCAGAATTCGAGTGTCTGGACTGATTAACCACAGCTCCATTAATAGATGCAACGTACTGGTAAACTCTACTGGAGACATTCATTCGTTCTAAAGCAAGAGTCCTTTGTCAACACATTTTCGCTTAGCGTCAAAACGAATAAGTTTACCTCTTGCAAATACATAAGTTAATATTTGCCAGGATAAACACAAAGAAACTAGAAAGATAATCAATTCAGTATCTTTCAGTTCAAATGTTCAGTTGTTCATTTCGTCTTACCTTTTCACCTGGACTAAGATGTTTTAAGGGATAAAGATCGATAGCATTCACTTGGTTAACCCCTTGAACATTGAAATTTCTACGATAACAAAACAAAATTGAAGAGCAAAACAATATTAAGATTTCAGTTCACTTGTATGAAAGAAAGCTATTGTTGTAATAAAGTCAAACTTTTGATTCACCTTCCAGTAAAAAGAACGAATTGAACCTTAAAGTTTTAATATTTTAATTCCAGACTGCAGAATGTCATTTTTGGGGCTTGATGATGTATCCTTATTTCTTACCATATAGTTGCTGAAGTTCATGTAAATCGGATATGTATGCAGTGGTATTTGAAAGGATAAGTGTTAATCCAAGTTGAATATACTGAAGCGATCAGTATTCCAATGTAAGATAATTGAAGACAGTCAGAAGGAATCCTTTTATAAGAGATTTTCGCCTCTTCAGACGTGTCAGTTAGTTACATTTAAACTGATGAAGAGTCATATAGTCCATAAAGTAACCTTATTCACCTGGTTCAGTATCACGTCTAGCAAAGTTACAACTTAAAGGACCTCCTGTGGTCGCTAAACTCTATTATGTTGATTGCAATTAGCATAATACTTTTGGCTTTTTACTAACCAGTGTCTTTCAACGAAAAAAGTGCATCTGAAAGTTAATCTAATTATCAGATTTTCGAAGATGACAGAGAGTGAATACACCAGCGCACCACTGAAGTCGATTTTGAACCTATTCATCCGTGCTGGCTAAACATTGGATACGAACATATTCGCGATCACATTATGAAAGCTTAAGTGTGTGACATCACCGGTAGTATGACCTAATAGCCTACGGGCCATACCAGCCTAGCAGACTGAGAATGATACAAACCTAACGCATAAATGAATCCACTCTAACGCATATCAGGAGGTCAACCACCATCACAACAATACCCCCGATGCGCGAAGACAAGAAGAGAAGACAGAACGTTGACAGAGATGCTGAATATATACATTTCTGAATGACCTTGACAATACCAAATTCACACATAGTTAACGATCAATAAGAGTCCAGTCTTGAGAGCAGAGGGAAGAAAAACTAGTAACGGTGTGAAAACAGCCATGTCATTGACAAAACAGCAGACAAAGGCTATGCAAAATTAGGGATATATAGTAGTTTGCCTCCTTGCACAGTTCAGGCTGAAACTACTGACTTAGTCTGATCAGCCATAGACTTTTCTGCATGCAGTCATACCTACAACACACCATGTCATATTAAGCGGCAAGTCGAACTACATAACTCATGTTTTAGCCACGCTAATCATCAGTGCAGGCTCACAGCTTCGCCAGTTAACTCAGATGCTTGAATATTGCCTATAGTAGTACTCTTGAGATTTCAGATACTAACTGTTGCTTGAGAACAAGCAAAATAGCCCAGCTTCAGAGATTTTTGATCATCACCTAGTAAGTTTCATAACTATAGCCGAAGTTTGCATTATGATATAAGCTGAATGAATTGCAACAAACACCTGAGACAAGTACATCATACTAGTTGGAATTTATCGGTTAATTCACAACTATCACCCGCTATTCCCCTACATCAAGGTTTCTTTTAGATATCTTTGATTGGATCTAGCACACAAAAACTGATTTCAAAATAGTTTTCATCATAAATTGACATAAGTTGGTCGACCATTAGAAACTTGTGTGTCCTAGAAGTAACTCTTTCGACAAACTTTAGGACTACAGAAGTAAGCACCCAAGAAGTAATGAAGGATGGAGAATAGAACCATCATGTCTGATGGCACCACACATCAATTCATTTGTGTAGGAAGACTGTTGAATTTTTAAACATTATCTTCCTAGATATACTACAACTCTACAGCCTTCAGTGTGTGTACACCACCAAATGAACAAAAATTTGACAAGTAACATTTAAAAAAGAACTTTACTTTATGAGCATTAACCTAAGTCGACAGTTCCATTTTGTTTGTTGTTTTGTTTATCGCTTTTGCACAAGCATTTTATTTTAGCCTTAACTAAAACAGACGTGGAACTAATATTCATTGGCTCAAGTGGTCGACTTTCAACCAATTGGTCATGGGTTTGTATATCACTCCAACTTCCGAAATTTAGGCAGCCGGGTAGTATCATTAGTCCATACATAATAAGTGTAACTCATTGCCTCCTGCTCTAAAAAAAGTGTACAAGTTTGTTGAGTCCATTTCAGTTTGAAAATAGACGTTGAATATAACAATCAGTTTGCGAAAAACTGAGCAGTTTTTCGAATAGCCAGATTTCATTCTTTTAAATAATTTGGCTTTATGAGCTGAATTTGTCAGAGTACAGCCCTGATAAGCCAGGCTCTAAACCAGTGAGACAGCATTCTGGTGTTTTTAAATCACTAGTGCACTTATACATGACTAACAGCATTTAGTGGAAAAATTCGAGGAACGTATTTAGACAAGTGGATTCAGGTCTATGATGTTGTCTTTTCAATATACTTACTTTAACAAGAACACATGAGTTTATAGATAAAATTTAGGATAATGTTAGACTAATACTTAGCCTCCTACTAAGGTTCAAGAGAATACAACTCTTGAACCTTTTGTGCACTTTAGAAGAAAAGGTAACTGAATAAAAACTGGTCATTTTTCAGTCTCATCAACTTTCTAAGTGAAATCATCTCATCATTTTCTATATTTATTGATGAGTTTCTTCAGACAGCCACTGTCAAGGCAGATGTTATTCAGAAACAGTCAAGTGTTCATGCAATTTCTCTCCAGAAAGCAGATTTCTCGGGCCACAAACTGTTGATCTAGCTAACCGTTGTTTGTAGTTCATTCGTCAGAAGTTGTTGTTTTTTAAATACCTCTCTGTTCAGATAGAACCCTTGAAGTGGATCATTCTCTTGACTGTACAACCATCCTTTTTTCTGATTAGTCGATCCAGAAAATTTCAAGCTTATATTAACTTTGTTGAATATTTAAGATGTGTTTCAGGTGTGATTTATAGCTTCGGAAGTCATGATCCTATCAACCACGTAACTAGTGTGTAACTGATATTACCAACAATGCTACTTCTTTCATTCTATTTGTTTCTATATTTGCTATGAGTATAACAATGAAAATAGACCAAAATTAACTTTCAATAGTCACTTAATCCATTTTTCATTTAAATTCATTATTAAAGGTGAATTGCATGTTGGTTATTACAATCTATTCAAGCCATTTTCAAGTTTTAATGTCAAAATATAACTTGGTCACTATGGTACAGTATAATCCAACATTAGGTTAGTTTGTGATAATTTACTTGGTTGTGGCTAGAGGTATCGAGACATGCGTATAGGAACTTACATATGAACAAACGTCGAACAGTTCGATCCAGTATGACAACAGAGAATTACAGTTATGTCAGTAAATAACAATAACTAATACTCGTTGTAAAAAAGGTGGCTATAGTCCTTCATTGACCTAGTGGATAACGTTTTAGCGTTTGAAGCGGTGGGTACGAGGTTCAACTCTTAGCGAGAACAATATAGCTCACTTAGGTGCTGGTATATTCAGCTGACGGGTTAGTTCCAAATAGCACGAAACATAAGTCCTAGATTCCTCTGCTAGCCACAACGAAGTAAATAATCGTAACGAATAGGCCGGCAATATCTAAGCATGCGCATGTGAGCCTTTATGCCAACAGAGGCGGAACAGATCGATCCAATATAACAACGAATAGTTAGAAGTACATCAACAAATAACAATTAGGTTAGTTTATTTGATACAATATTGATTAGTCACTGCAGGGCAACCGACTTCATATTGTGTAGTTTTAAGTGCTGACAGAATTCTATCGATCATCTCGAAATGTGGGTCAATCGTGACTCGAATAGCTCAGTGGTTACGTCTCTAACTACTGGAGTGAGTGACCCGGGTTCGAGTCTCAGGTGGGATATCACTTCCATCAAGGTTGCGGATAAGCCTGGTTGGTGACTGCAGACAGAAACAAAATCTAGGTTTAGAGTTTTCTGCTGGTTGTTTCCATCCGTGGAATAGTCCACCAAGAACATAGTTTTTTCAAAATAAGATGACGTCTTTTTATTGAATTTATCGTTTATCGTCATCTGCATATAACCTTATATGAAGTGTACTAAGACAACAGTTAATAAAGTACTATAATTCAAAGCACAAAGGAGGTTTGGGTAATAAATTCAGTCAAACTGGATAAATGCTCATGAATGGGTGTGGTAAGATTGGAAACAATATGTAGAAGTAGTTACGTAATCATGCAAATTATAATCTGAACAAAACGATAAGTCTGTGAGGTAAAATTATTGTAATAATAACATACACAGTAATAATAAAATGATAGCTAACATGAGTGTCGTTGGAGATGAGCATAATAGAAGTCAATAAAAAACATTCTCGTCGGAGTAACGTGATAGGATCCAAAGTCACTAATTAGCAGTCCAGTAATAAATGGGAAACTTTTTCTTTCTGAACACAGCTCAAGCTGAACTCATTGAGAAGTAATAGCTTATCATTTATGTGATATGCTACACCATGTACACACGATGAAGTTCTACATAGCAGTCAACAGACAAAAGGTTTCGAGCCTACTTCTAATTCCCGAGGCCGTCACTATCTAATGAGTTCATCCTGAGCTGTGAGTGCAAAAGGAGACAGTTACCAAGTGTTATTGTCCTGGTAATTAGTGACTTTTCACCCTCTCAGTTGTCCCAAGCAAACACTTTAGTACCTTCATTTTACATTCTTGCCCATCCACACTGATGTTGACTATGGCTTCGTCAACACTGTATTTGCCAATATAACAATAGTTTATCCCATATATATGGGTAAGTAATGTTTTTGGAGCTATTAGCGCTTTTTTGCCAACTATACACAAATATGTCTGCAATAATGAGAGACATTGGTTACCCTTCTGTTTCTGTGTATATCTTATTTTTAAACCAAAAGGTGGTAGAATTCAGCCATAACTGTACTCAGCATGGTCACCTCGAATGGTACCTTAGTTCAAAGTGTGAGCTCATCATCATTAACATACATTCTTCCTCAAAAAATATGGTTCAGATACGTAGATAACATAT